TTCGCTCTGATGGTGGGGGAGGATGCCGGTCAGATCTGGCAGGCCCAAACGTATTGTGAGGGTCTGCTGGGAGCGACTGGTAGGGAACGACTGGCAGTATCCTGTCAGAAGGAGCTGCAAGTCCCACCTCCGACAGAATTTCCAAAACGTTCTGGGGGAGGTGGGGGACATTGAGTCCGAATGGGCTCTGTTCCCTGCCTCCATTGTCGAGGCGGCCGACCGGAGCTGTGGCCACAAAATCGTTGGTGCCTGTCGTGGTGGCAACCCCCGAACCCGCTAGTGGACACCAGCGGTTAGGGATGCTGTCAAGCTGAAGAAAGAGTCCTATCAGGTCAGTTTGGCCTGTAGGACTCCAGAGGCAGCTGATAGGTACCTGCGGTCCAAGCGGAATGCGGCTCGGGTGGTCACGGAGGCCAAAACCCGGGGGTGGGAGGAGTTCGGTGAGACCATGAAGCAAAACTTCTGCATGGTTTCAAGGAGACGGTTTGAAGAAGTTCCGTACACAATCATGCTCACAACAAGCACGTAAACCGTGTAAAAACAGCCCATCAGAGCTGCAGCACGGGTAAAATACCAACCGTAGCTCTGGCACCGTGACTTTGGGTAATACTTCACTTATCAACACACTTAAATGGATATTCCACCCAAATGAAAACTTTTCTGTTGACGTATTTACAATTTTTAACCAACGCACTGAGCCATTTTCCTGACCCGACTGTACTCCTTTAGCTTTAGCTTAGCATAAAACACAGTAAGTGAACGGATCCAGCTAGCATTGTGAGTAAAATAGCCTTTAAAAACACTCCGTAGTGATCCCACTTCTGCTTGGTGGCCTTAATAATCAGACTGACTGCAAATGAAAATGATCAGTAACACAAAGGAATCAAAGGCATCATGTTAGCGATCCAAACCTCCATAACACACACACACACACACACACACACACACACACACACACACACACACACACACACACACACACACACACACACACACACACACACACACACGCACACACACACACATATGCACACACACACACACACATATGCACACACACACACACAGTCAAAATGACAGCGAGAGAACAAACAGGCATCCTGCATCTGCACAGGAGCAACTGGAGCTCCACTAGTGTGTGTGTGTGTGTGTGTGTGTGTGTGTGTGTGTGTGTGTGTGTGTGTGTGTGTGTGTGTGTGTGTGTGTGTGTGTGTGTTATGGAGGTTTGGATCGCTAACATGATGCCTTTGATTCCTTTGTGTTACTGATCATTTTCATTTGCAGTCAGTCTGATTATTAAGGCCACCAAGCAGAAGTGGGATCACTACGGAGTGTTTTTAAAGGCTGTTTTACTCACAATGCTAGCTGGATCTGTTCACTTACTGTGTTTTATGGAAGGAACTTCAGGTCAGTCAGGACCTAAATGTTGTGATCTAAGGTGAGGGTTGGAACTCGGACAGACGCCAGCTCAGACCAGAGCTTAGCTCTGATGTCTATGAAAATCCAATCCGTCAGTTCATGAAACGAGACAAAGATAGTTTAACTCAGCAAAGCAGCTGACCACCTCCTGCTTTAGCTCGTGCATCATCGTAGAGAGTACTTTCCTCCTGCGTAGGGAAACATTTCACACTGAAGAACGTCACAAAAGCATAGCTGAGTGTCTCCATCTAGTGGTCAAAACAGCAAAATGACTCTAGGTGGGATGGGGCCGTTTTCCGACACCAGTCCCTAAAACACACCTGGTTTTCAGTACCTGAGTGATCTCATTTAGGAAGAAAAGATCATTTAAATGTCTGATTTTGTTATTAAACTAAACAAAAACAACAGTAAACTATAAATAAGCATCTGTCTTTGAGAGCAAGAAAAAGACAAAATTAAAATATTTGTATAAAAAACAGTTATTTCACCTGTTAGTGCAAAACAAAAGTAAGCAGTACAAGTATAAACCATTATATATTTACTCCAGGAAAGAACCCTAACCTAAAATAAAAAGTGTTTGGATCTCAAATAAGAAGCTGTAAACTTGTACATTTTCATAAGCAGCTTCGTTTACACGTTTAGCACCTTTTTGTGTCTTTGAGGTGTTCTACCGGTCTTTACTGGTATTGCTGTTGCCTTCAGCAGTGTTTTACCCTATTTTACCGTTTTTCTACATCATTATGTTTGCTGTGCAAGGTGGCTTAGTGGTAGCACCCTTATGTAGGTGTATCTTTGGGTTAAACGACGCAGTCATGGTAAGCTTGCCCTGGACCGTTTCGATGCCGTGTGCCTCCTGCGAGAGCGGGGGGGGGGGTGGTGGTGGGCGCGGTTTGCAACTTTCTTAGCTGTGGTGCAAAAATTTCAGGTGTGGCGCATGCCAGCCTGAGCCCATGTAGGGGAAACACAGCCGTTAAGTACCAGTATGTAGGGATGGCTACCTTTGACATTTGAATTGATACCTTACCAATATCCGGTACCTATGAATCGATACCGGTACTTAATGGTACCAATTTTTGATACTTTTGAGTGTTTAATAATTATTTAAATCACTTTTTAACTAAACATATATTATTTTCCCAATATATAACCATATTTGACAAATATGATAAATAACACACAACATGTCGCTGCATGCTTGCTTAGTATGAGGATTGCTGTAAAGACTCTGACACGAGTCAGTGACTCGATGTGACCTGCTGGGTTCCTTATATAGGAAACTCTTTACTGATTGGTTTAATGACCCGACCTGTGCTGGGATGTTTACTGTGTGAAGGTCCTTGAGACGACTCTCGTCGTGATTTGGCGTTTTATAAATAAACTTGAATTGAACTGAAAAACTGTATTTGATCATCATCGTGTTGTGCAAAACTCTTCAACATGAAAACTTTAACAAGTGTTTGTAAATGACGCTAAAACAAACCCAGCTCCATGTACTCCTAATCCTCCTCTAACCCCTCTGGATTAACTCTGATGATGAGACCATGTGTTATAAACTACAAATGAAACTAAAGCTAACTTTGATACCATACAACAGTCTGTATTTTAATATTGTGCTGTTTGACAAACTAACCCAGCTCCATGTACTCCTCTACCCTCTGGACCACTGTGATGGTGGTCCTTGTAGTTTTATAGAGCGATAATTACGCTGAAGCTAACATCTCTGCTGTGAAATTAATTTACTGAGCACCTTCATTCCTTTTGCCGTTCATTTCCAAACTGTTTATTTTCCTACTCAGAAGTTGGAATTTCCGAGGGGTAAGCGAACGCACCATTAGCTGAACGGAAGCTAACATATCAAGCTAACGTTATCTTAAATATTTTATTTACCTACCAGAGCAGATTTAGATGACGACGCCTCACTTAGATTGTTGTTGCTGGTTTCATCATCACCCAGTCACCCATCCATTTAGTGAAGTGGTCCCAAACTTCAGAACGCTTCCTCTCTGCCATGCTGCTTTGTTTACAGCTCGCCCAGAGTGGCTGACGACATCACGCTCTCACGCCGGCACGCAGCACGGGTACCAAAAAGTCATGATGTGAATCGGTACTCAGTCGGTACTATGGAATTAGGTCTGTGCCTTAAAAGTACCGAATTCGGTACCCACCCCTACCAGTATCGACCCTTTGCACGTGACGTCACGCCACTCATGTGACCGCCGCCTTCGCCATGATGGACGGCAAAAAGACCGTTTACACCCGTAGAAACTCCAGTGAAGCTAGTCGAAACAAGCCAGTTTGTAGCCTTTTATGGCTTTTATTGAGTAGATTTGACAGTAAAATGGTTTCAGCTTGCTGCGTGGTCGGCTGCACCGAGAGACGAGGACGTAAACTCAACTCGTTTTTTCTTTTTAATAACTTTGATGGAGACTGAGGACGGAGATGATCTGCAGCATCAAGCGGACCAGCAGGCCTCAGATTTGCAGCAAATGTGTTTTTACCGTTTAAGATTAACGTTCATTTATTCCACGAGGAAGACAGGGACAGGGATAAATGTGATGTGTTTATACTAGTTACTGATAATCCTGATGGACGGGTGTTTCACCACGGAGGCTGCGCTCCGTCCACTGTAGTGTAAAGCGAGACAATTATTAACAATATTAAAGCTCCGATGTATGATTATGTGTGTTAAAATGACGTTATTTATTTATTTATACGAGCGTCGGCGTTCAGAGATCTTCTCATTCCGGTGTGAGAGCAGCAGCTGGACCCGGTACCACCACCAGCAACAGAAGCTGGTAGGGATCCGGACTTTTAACAATCAGCTTTGGTGTGAAGTGAAACGCTGTTTATAACATAGTTATAGATCCAGAGGGGTGAACTTAGGCCAAGTCAGCAACATGTTTACATCGGTGAACAGCTGCAGAGAGAACGTAAGCTAACATTGCTAAGCTAGTTAGCATACCGCTAGATGCGCTACTTCTTCTGATAACTGAACTGGGCATGAACCAGTGGAAGGGATGCTGGAGGAGTTTTGTTTTTGTTTTGATCACAAAAACAATTTCAGGCTCTACTTTTTCCTTTGTTTAGTACTCGTGTCGCTCACTGGTTACATGCTTTTGCCGTCCAGCATGGTGGACCCACGGGATTAGGTCACGTCGGTGCAAAGGGTCAACTGGGGCATTCGGGAACACTGACACCATTAATGGAAACGGCTCCACTACTTTGTGGAACTGAAGGGGTCTAACAAACCGGTTACCTGGTCAGTGAGCTCCTGCCCTAGACTTCTACAAGGAAACACGAATGCTGCAAACCACTGGTGTTCAGGCTGAGAGGTGTTCCCCACTAAACCTCCTTCCTGGAGGTTTGTAACAAAAACCAGACGATCAGAACGTAGGTGGAAGTTTACCGGTTTTGTGCTGCGATTCTATACTCGTATGTCATTCTGAGTCGAATGAAGATGGAGACGTCCACATGGGGTCCCCTCATCTGTGAGCATCAAAGTTCCTGAGAAGGAAGTGTTGTCCTCCTAACGCAGGCACAGTGGAGGCTGAGGAACAAGCGACAGTGTGCGGTGGCGGTACCTGACGGCCTCAGCCACGTTGTTGGAGGTGTGTCCTGACAGGGCGTCATGGAGGTTCCTGATGAAGAAGTCTCTGTACTCCTCAGGCAGAGCCATGAAGGTCCCACCCATCACAATGAACTCCACCTTGTCCACGCTGTGGCCCAGCTGCTTCAGCTGTGGATTGAGTCAGAATAAAACACTGGTCTGGGGTAGAAGCAGGGAGTGATCGAAAACATTAAATATTATGGTCTGTCTCTCATTAACAGCTGCTCTGGTAACAGGGTTTCTATGCAAAGGCGGAGCTACAAGGTGTTTGTCCCTACTGCTGGTAGGGAAGCTTTAGACTGTTCCTGCGCCTCAGATAAAGCATCACCTGACCTGATCCTGGTCAGACTACCAGGAAAAGCAGGCGCGCCAAACCACAGAACATTAGAAAGGGTTACGGTTTGTTTCTCCCCACGAGGGCCAGAATCACAGATTCTTATTATTTTGTCCTGTAGTATGACCGTACCTCACATTTTCACAGCGTTGCATCTAGGGATGCACCGATACGATACTGGTATCGGCAACGATACCAATACCAGTATCGGTGAAAGTTAACCGATACCAATGCAGTTGCTTGAAAATGGCTTCACTGTAACTTGTCATTTCTGTTCACCTAATATTTTAGTTTTGTGATGATTTCCATTCATATGTTTTACTTTACTTACTTACACAGTCTTTTCCTGTTGAAAGCAGAGAAGAAAATCAAATCTACATTTTTTTGTGTGGTAGAAGTATCGGTATTGGTAATCGGTATCGGCGAGTACTCAGATCCAAGTATCGGTTTGGAAGAAAGTGGTATCATTGCATCCCATTAATGTGATTATTAATTATCTGATGGCATCATTCGGCTCTTTCAGGGTAACAAAGATCCTGACTGGTCAGCAGTATCTGACAGTCACTGGTTAAAGATCTTCTCAGGCAAATAATTATAATCTGTAAAACACTGACCTGCTCCACTCGATGTCTGGTCTGCAGATACGGGTCGTAGCGAGCTCGGATCGCTCTCATGGATGTTGGCTAAAGACAGATGGGACGAAAAAAACAACATTACATTATATTACATTACATTATATTACATTACAATATATTACATTACATTATATTACATTACATGATGTCAAATTCACAAGAGAATGGAAGCGTCTCACCTCATAGCCAGTGTAAGACTGGGTTGAATACTCAAAGTCAGAGTCTGGTCCACCGGGACAGTAGCTGTTAGAATCAAGATGTGAGTACATAGCGGGGAAAGGTATATATACATATATTAATCAGAAAAAGATAGAATGCCTTCATTAACACTGGAGAAGGTCTTCTCATCATCCACCAACTCTTGCAGGAATAACAGAACGACATTCACCAGGCGCTGAAATGGTAGCACGTCCCCGACCTGGCAGCAGGCCTAAAACATTTACAGCCATCTATGGTGCTTAGCCGCTCACATATTAGCGGGTTTGGTGGGGCTGGATGGCACGAGTTCGGTCTCGAATGGGCGGTGTAGTGTTCACATATTAATCCGAGGGACTTCTCACGAATGTGGAGATCCTCGAGCCTGTGGGCGGAGGTTAATACGCGCAGGGAGGTCCGCGGTGTCCTCCATAATAAGGTGAACAAAGGCGAGCATGAGCTGTGTTGCTTTTGGGGACTCTGAGCCACATTTGCTGTGTATGTCCTCATAATCTTGTGCCACACACACACACACACACACACACACACACACACACACACACACACACACACACACACACACACACACACACACACACCTTGGTTCCAGTCTGACCGCTGGGAGAAGAAGAAGAACAGATCGTTTCTGTAGCGCCTCTCAAGATAAAAATCACGAGGCGCTTCACGAAAACAAAAAATATAAAAAAGAATTTAGAAAATGTTTAAAAATATATTTAAAATGAGCAAAAATAGACAATTGTGATTAAAAAAAACTCCACTAAAAAAATGTCGCCTCAGAATTGAAAACGCAAATCCGACCTGTGTGTGTGTGTGTGTGTGTGTGTGTGTGTGTGTGTGTGTGTGTGTGTGTGTGTGTGTGTGTGTGTGTGTGTGTGTGTGTGTGTGTGTGTGTGTGTGTGTGTGTGTGTGTGTGTGTGTGTGAAACCAAATTCCGGTCCTGGAAGGTACCGTAATGGACTGAAAATTGTGCAGGCATAATTTTTTTTACATGTTTGCCGTTGCACGTCGGGTGTGAGGAATGGGAGGTTACGATGCTGCGCTCAGGTAGGAGTAGGAGCAACCGACAGCTGGTCTGATCTGCTCTGAGAAGCATTGATCAGAATCTGCAGATCACGTGTTTTTTCAGAGATCAGTAGCAGATTACTCTTCCGGTCGGGGACTGGGAATCGAATTTTTAACATTTGAGCGAGAATATGGTAAATGGCCTCTATCTGAAATAGCACCTTCTAGGCTTCTACAACCCCTGTAGGTGTCATCCACCCATTCACATGCTGATGATAATGAGCTACAACATACCTACAGCTGCCCTGGGTCGCACAGACGAACGCCAGGCTGCCGAACACTAGCACCACCGGTCCCTCTGACCACCACCAGCAGGCAAGCCGGGTTAAGTGTCTAGCCCAAGGACACAACAGCAGCACTCTCTGCCAGGACTGGACCTACAAGCCTCTGATTACTGGACAACCCACTCTACCTCCTGCCCTACTGCAGTCCCCTGAGACCACGCGTCCTGTCTGACAACAGCTCAAAGGCCTCCAGAGCTGCTTGTTTATGAGAGAAAAAACAAACATAATCTCTACTATTTCAGCCAAAATTTAAATCACAATCATTTAACATTCACTTATTCACTCCTATTCTGACCAAAATACTCTATCGCCAAAGTAAGAGCGCCACCAGACGCCCTGAGCAGAATGCGGTGAAACATTTTCAAACATAGCTTCCAGTTCAGCTGAAGCCATTTAAAGTCTACAAAAACTGATAGAAACATCAAAAAAGGAACCAGCGTTTTATTTTGAACAACAAAAGCTGGTTGAAAGACTTACACGCAGATGTTTCCTGTAAAGCTGATGTGAGGACATCGATGGGGTTTACACATCACAGCTACAACTGCAATCTGTCACAGAAACAAGTCTGAACAGGGACCAACAGTACGTACGTACATGTGCTGCTGAAGGAGTGATACCGATAATGCTAACACACCAAACACAACATAGCGTGTTTGCGCCTCTTTTAGACAATATTGTGAAACTTCAGAAGAGGTTTGACGTGTTTAACAGAAAGAACAGACGGATGGAAAAGCATCTCACTCCACTGGCAGTGCGGATGGGCTTAGCTTTGAGTTTGGGCACCAGGACCCGGCGGTACTGAGGTGGAACAGCAGCAATGATGTCCACCAGTCGGGGCTGAGCTTCGAGTCCATATTTCGCCGAGGTCTTGGTCTTCACTCTGTTAGAAAACAAATGACACAGGTTTTGGTTTGGTACAACCAGGAGTCCAGCAGACAACACAGGACCGAGTAGGTTCTCTTAACCAGCTTGTTCGGGTTGTTCCTGTCGGGTCAGAGAGACGCCCACAGCTGCTTTACTCATCTCTGACACAGAATCAGTTTAATCAACTTTTTAACTTTTCATCCACAAAGTACAAGAATCTCGTAACTCCAAGTGCTGCTGGGAGTGTGCAAGCATTGTTTATAAGCCACGAAGAGTGTCCTCATAACTTTTACATTCATTTTTGACCACTGCCGGTGTCTTTATCTAAGTTGAACGGCAATGTGGTCATCATGCTTAACCTCCTGGGACCCAAACTTGTATTTGGTTTGATTTAAAAGAAAAAAAACATGTCTAGCTATTACAGATTAGTCGACTGTAATTAACAGAAACCAAGTTACAAAAATTTACATTCAATAAAAATTTATTAAATAAAAATGTTGTCAAATAAATATCCTAAAAAAACGAAACACAATAAAACATTTTTTTAATTAAAGTCATATAAAGTGTCTATAAATAATAACAAAAAGGTCTACGTAGAAGAGAATAAAAGTTTAAAGTACACGTATGTGGACACAGGGCCCTAGGAGCTTAAAAGAATTTGTGTTGTCCAAATATTTAGCCTCCATTAAAATATTGAATTTTATGATCTTTCTAACTAGTTCTCATACTGACCCATCACCAGCCACTGAATTAATAATAAGCATGATCCCATTTAGCCTGAGGAACGCTCGGTAAACAAATCAAGGTGTATTTTTGTCTTCCTGTGGAGTTTCAGCTTCAGATCAGTTTATTTTGGTTCTGAATCACCTCACCGGAGCTTTAATCAACGGAAGCTCTGTGTTTCTGTTAAAGAGATCTTACTTATTGAGGTTGATGTCTTTGCCTTGCTCATGGGCTTCAACCAGCTGTCTGATGACATCAGCGATGGTCATCATCATCAGTTCAGCTCGGCTGAGGTCACCTGTCCATCAGAAGCATTAAAATGATTATAATAAACACACAAACAGAAAAGTGGAGTTAAACATTCAACTTTCTCTAATCTAACAATGTTAGATTCATAACCAGCATGCAGAAAAGCAGCACAACGCATTGAGTTGTTGCATTGTGCGCATGGCTCATTTGAAAAAAGAACAAATTAGCATCGCTGTTGTTGATGCTAGCGGTTAGCATTAGTCATAGCCACTTTAAAAATAAAATGTTATTTTAAGCAACGTGACAGGCACTCACTCTTTTTCTTGGGTTTCCCCATTTCTTTTTACAAGAACACACTAAATTTAAAACGATACGCTGTTGTTAAAGTGTCCTCATCGCTCTGTTAAACCATTAGCACTGTGAAAATAGTAAACACCACATTTTCACCAAATACGGCTTCGATAAGTACGGCAACAGAAACTGTCGTAAAGCAACGTAAACCCACCTGCTCTTTTTTAACAGTTTTTGAAACGGAGTTCTTGTAATTAACAGAGTTAACGGTGTTTTCTCACACTACGACAGTAGAACGGGCTCTAATTTGTTTTCTGACTTTAATAAAAAACAAAATTAGTTTGTTTTCGCTCCGCTGCTCGGAGTTGAGCTTGTAATTCCTACATTTTCCACGTGATGGCGCCAACCCCTCCTAAACCAATGGCCGAGAGCGCGTGAGAGCAGCTGGAGGCTCGCTGACTAATCTCACAGCAAATCCCTTTATCTGCGCGGTGGCTTGACTGATCTCTGCGGGAAGTTTCAGGAAATGCAACAGGTGGAGGAGCTCGGGGACTCGACTCTAGTCTGTCGGTGTCTTCAGTCTGGATGGTGGACCTGAGGTGACCCGGAATGAGCGGGTTTGGGGCGTCATGTGAAGCTGTCAGAGGTCATAGTGAACGCTAGTGACCCAGTGTGTGTGTGTGTTTGTTGCCGTTAGCGTGCTAGCTGCGGCTCGTCAAACTACTGAAGGAGTCGGACAACAGCGCACTCCGGTTAGTTCACTGCTGTTTACAGAGGCTTTTTACTCCTGATGCCATGTGTGAGACCTTTAGACGGACTTTTCCACACAGATAATGTATTATAGTGTGTAATGAAAGGACAAGTTTCAGTCTAGTGTAATTATAAAGCGTGTTTTCCTGTTTAAATGGAGTTGAACTGGTTTTACTGGTGCTTTGCTGCAGGTCACGTGACGCCATGGATGACAGCAGCCTGAGCGACTCTAACGTGAAGGTGGCTGTGCGCGTGCGACCCATGAACCGGAGAGGTGAGGGTCCTTCCTTCTCGTTGGAATTACTGAGCATCTGCCCAAGAACGTCATTAAGTTTGTCTGCTTCCGCTACCCGTAACTTTATAACACACACATCACGTTCGAACAGGAATGGTGTGTTAGGATGAGTAGACCGCATGTAGAACCGAATCGTGAGGAATTCTCTCTACTGCGGTGGGATCTGGGTGACACCGGAGGATCTCTGGCTCAGGTCGACACCACAGTAGAGCCATCATTTATGGGTCTTTCTTTTGAGGCTTTTTGGTGTTTATGCCACAAAGTTTGATGTCAGAAACTGAGAGGCAGGTGTGTGGTTACCATGGAAACCCACAGTCGGCAACATTAACATTTCTGTGCACTTTATTTGTTACTTTTTTTATTTAAGTGTCACAGTGTTGATGTTTCAGCCAGCTGAAATGTTCCTGCAGCTGCAATAAAGACCACGTATTAATTTAGTGTGTTTAGTTAAAAAACGTGTGCCTTTAACTTTCCTGCTGAGCAAAAGGGAAATGATTCGTGATGGAGGTGCTTTTCAGCCATTATGTTCTCTGCCACTTTCCCACGATGCACTGGGGTTGGCTTTATCACTGATGCACCTGTAATTAGGAGCAGTTCACGCTTTACCCTCCAGCCAGCACTGCTCTGTCCCAGAGTCAAACGGTGTGAACATGAGCAGCTAAATATGTGATGTCACTGCTCCGCCCATTAAAGCCTCCGGATGCCAGGAGGAGTGAGGAAGAGGAGGTGTGTTCCTCCTGCTCAGCTCTGTGTGATGTTTGCACAGACAGACAGGTCCTGGATGAATCATCAGAACCGTTTGTGTTCTGATTAGTGGACCCAACCCTTACTGTTGGCAATCACACGTTTACTCGTTGGTTTTAGGGCTTTAGCAAATAAATTCAACCTGCTTTTCAGAATTTATCCTTTACAGTTTCTGTTGTCAGCTTTTATTTTGAAATGATGTTTTGTAGCGTTTGAATTTCTGAACAATGTAAAACTAAAAATGAACTGGAAAAACAAGTTCTTAAATAAAGATTTATGGTAAATTCGTTTATTTATGTAAGCAGGTCAAATTGTTTGAGAACATGTTTTTGTTTAAAACCGACCTGGCTGAGATGGGGGACTGGGTGTGTGTGTGTGTGTGTGTGGGGGGGGGGGGGGGGTGCCTTGCCCAAGGACGACAGGAACGGCCTGAGTGGGGCACAAACCTGCAACCCTCCAGCTGCCGCCGGGTGGGGATCTGGCTCCTCTGCCAGGGTGGTCGGGTTTCTGTTGTGAGGGTCAGAAGGTCGCTTGGTGCTGCTGTTGGTTTGTAACTAGTCAGAAAAACCGCGTGCCCTTTGTGTTCATTCAGAGAAAGACCTGAAGACCAAATGTGTGGTGCAGATGGGAGGCAACCAGACGGTTCTACAGCCAGCCGTCACAAACGTGAGCAAAGGAGACCCTCGGTAAGCTGCTGGATACAACCTCAGCTCTGCTTTAATCAGGAGCCAGACCTGTTGCTGTCATTTGGGCCCATAAAATAAAATCTGCATTTATTTAGTCACACACTGCCTTCTGCCTGTATTTGTCTTTTTAGATTAAGCCCCCCCCCCCCCCCCCCCCCCCCCTTTGGGTGTTAAGCTCACAGACGACTCAGGGTAGTCATTGTTAAATCAGCCCAGTGTGGCAGATCAAGGGCAAAACACTCTGGTTGTGTATGCCATTTATCACAATGTGCCTCCATTATTCTTTCATTGATTGTTGCTGATATTTTTGCACAGAAACTGGTTCTGAATTTAAACTATAAAGCTTCAGATCTACGAAATAGGAATATTATTTCAATTTTTTCACTTATCTCACATTTAAAATGTAACATAATGACATCTAACAATGCAGGTCTGAGTTAATATATCTATAGTTCAGAGACAGGTGAGTGGGAGTTGTGTGTCAGTGTGTGGGGTTCTCAAAGTCTGTAAATGTGACTTAAATTCACCATTTCATTATCTCACCAGTCGCCAAAAGGTTCTTACGCCACATCCAAAGCTCACTAAAACGTGTGCTTCACTGAAAAAATAGCTGATTGGTTATTTTTTCCAGTCTCCCATCTTTTCCATTGTCTGACTGGATTTTCGTTTCTGTCCATTTTTCTTGTCTTTTATTCATCAGTAAAATAGCTGATAAATATTAGTCATAATTTAGTCTTTTTTTGGAGTGTTTGTTTTCATTTTTTCTTTGATATAGTTCGCAAAAAGTAATTTGTCATGAAAAAAAAAACCTACAATATTTAGTCAACGAAATTTACACTGTTCTCTAGTAGGAATCGATGCCTTGTAAGTCGTACTCTGGGGAGAAATACAGGTCCTTCTAAAAACTTAGCACATTGTGATAAAGTTCATTATTGTCTGTAATGTACTGATAAACATTAGACTGTCATATATTAGATTCATTACACACAACTGAAGTAGTTCAAGCCTTTTATTGTTTCTAATATTGATGATTTTGGCGTACAGCTCATGAAAACCTAAAATTCCTATCTCACTGACTCCGCCCCCTTCATTACAAGCTTTCTTTACTGAAGGTGTGTCTGTTCCTGCTCAGTCCTGCTCAGGTACTCCGACATAATTAAGGGAAGGGGGGGCAGGGATTTAAATTTGGGATTCAGGAACAATCGTGCACTGATTGTGTAGACCTGTGATGTTTCTGTACAACTCTTAATGTTTCCTGTTCGAGCTTCAGGTAGATCCTCCCTGGAGGTTTGGGTCCATGCTCAGATGTCCCTCATGGCGTTCCCTAACACACACTTGGGCACCGTCTCTTACCTCTGCTCTGACTTTCTCTTAACGACCTTTTGTTTTTGGTAATGTGTGTGTTACTCTGCCTCGACACGCTCCAGCAGCGGTGTGTTTCCCCTTTGGGGGTGGAGGAAAACAAGTTTTACAGGCTCCGGCGCCCGATGGTTCCACAAGGACTCAAACGTAGAACAGAAGCTAATCTTTAACCCGTTTCTATTCAAACGGTGAGACTCACTTCCAACGTGCTCTGGAGTTTCTGTTGAGCTCAGGGAGACGTGTGCTGGGTTGGTGCTTAGTAAGCTCTGTGTGTGTGTGGGGGGGGGGGGGGGGCATGGGTACTGACGGGGTGAGATCCGTTTAAGTTTTCTAACTGAGAGCTCGGCAGGATTTAAAAGCAGAAATGAAACTTTAAAAGGAACATTTTCACTCTGGTTGGGAGTTCTACGGTCCTGCTCAGCTGTGCTAGTCAGACTGGTCCCCCCCTACACGCACACACACACACACACACACACACACACACACACACACTCCCACTAGAGATTCCTCGGTGATGCAGAGCTCTGCCAGCTATCTCAGGAATGTCCTCAGCAGCCCAGGACAGGACAGGACTTAAGGCTGGTCCTTCATAAAAGCACCGGCTCTCACACAGGGCAGCCTTGTATTGTTACAGCCCCCCCCAGCCTGACAACGTGATTATAACTGCAGTTGACATCAGCCTCGCCTGGAGAACTTACACAATTATTTATGGTTTTGTTTGTTTATTTACAAACACTTGGTGTTTTCATGGCGAGCCCTCAGAGCGGTCCCAGAACGTACGCCCACATTTACCCTGTTGTTGAGTACAGGTGTCAGGTGTATATGTGTAATGTTGCAACAGCCACCCAGGAAAAAGCTGCTTGATGACATCATAAGCTCAGACACACACCTTAAAGCTGCTGTAGTGAATCCACACAACACTCACCCCTCCCCTCGGGTATCTTCACTGAGACGCTTCTGCCAGAACCGGAAACCAGAGGGAACAAGATGGTGCTGAACACCAGTCACCGTTTTCTAGGTCCAAACATCTTTTGTTGTCTTTGACTTCAGAAGGTTTTTCTTCTGGGACTCTGCTAGTTTGTCCTGAAGCTGAAGTGGTAGCAGCCGGCTGTTTCTCCTCCTCTGATATCATTGAGAGGAGAACCTCTCACACCAGTGGTGTTCTGTTGCTAGTATGTGAGTGTGTGATGAGTGGAGGAGCCAGGGAAGTGCAGCAGGTAGTTTTTCTTTTAAAATCTGCACAGATTTACTCTGTTAGAATGTTGTTTAGAGGCAGGAAAAATGTTTTAAGCTAATTTGTCCTTGAAGCTTTTACTTAGCATGTCCCTGCCTACGTCAGCATCAGCACCATATCCACTAGGAATGCTCCGATCACGTGATTTTTAAAGAATCGGGAGAAATGAATCTGTTTGAACCTTTTTAAAACAACAAAGCTGACATTTTAAATTCATCCTGAGATACAGATTTTCTAATAGAATAAAAATGGCTTCGTTATCATTTCAATAACTTGCTCTATTATTTGTTTCTTGTAAGACAACAACACCGTAACGTCACATCATTTACGGCAGGCAGGGGTTCAGACACCAAGGTGCAGCTGTTAACTAGCCTAGCAGGCTAACACAGAGCTAACGTGTCTCCTCAGGATGGTGGTGCTTTAAACTGAACAGCAAAGGCAGAGCAACGGCCACTTGTGAAACTCTGGCCATACAATACAGGGAGACGATGAAATATATCACAATATAGTGCGATACATCCAGCCAGACTATTTTAGTGATTTATTTTTGGACTGAATTTATTGTTGGAAAATTCAATACAGTCTAAACTGATTCACAACATGTTTAACATGAGGTATCTGAACAATAACAATAATAATTATAATAATAATAATTATTAAACATGAGGTATCTGAACAATAACAATAATAATTATAATAATAATAATTATTAAACATGAGGTATCTGAACAATAACAACAATAATAATAATAATAATTATTATTAAACATGAGGTATCTGAACAATAACAATAATAATTATAATAATAATAATTATTAAACATGAGGTATCTGAACAATAACAACAATAATAATAATAATTATTATTAATAAACATGAGGTATCGGAACAATAATAATAATAATATTATTATTATTAAACATGAGGTATCTGAACAATAACAATAATAATTATAATAATAATAATTATTAAACATGAGGTATCTGAACAATAACAACAATAATAATAATTATTATTATTATTATTAAACCTTAGGTATCTGAACAATAATAATAATAATAATTATTATTATTATTAATAAACATGAGGTAGCGGAACAATAATAATAATAATAATAATAATATAATTATTATTATTAAACATGAGGTATCTGAACAATAATAATAATAATAATTATTATTATTATTATTAATAAACATGAGGTATCTGAACAATAACAACAATAATAATAATAATAATTATTATTATTATTAAACATGAGGTATCTGAACAATAACAATAATAATAATAATAATTATTAAACATGAGGTATCTGAACAATAACAATAATAATTATAATAATAATAATTATTAAACATGAGGTATCTGAACAATAACAACAATAATAATAATAATTATTATTATTAATAAACATGAGGTATCGGAACAATAATAATAATAATATTATTATTATTATTAAACATGAGGTATCTGAACAATAACAATAATAATTATAATAATAATAATTATTAAACATGAGGTATCTGAACAATAACAACAATAATAATAATAATTATTATTATTATTAAACATGAGGTATCTGAACAATAACAATAATAATTATTATAATAATAATTATTAAACATGAGGTATCTGAACAATAACAACAATAATAATAATAATTATTATTATTATTAAACATGAGGTATCTGAACAATAACAATAATAATTATTATAATAATAATTATTAAACATGAGGTATCTGAACAATAATAATAATAATAATAATTATTATTATTATTAATAAACATGAGGTATCTGAACAATAACAACAATAATAATAATAATAATTATTATTATTAAACATGAGGTATCTGAACAATAACAATAATAATTATTATAATAATAATTATTAAACATGAGGTATCTGAACAATAACAACAATAATAATAATAATTATTATTATTAAACATGAGGTATCTGAACAATAACAACAATAATAATAATTATTATTATTAATAAACATGAGGTATCGGAACAATAATAATAATAATAATAATAATAATAATAATAATAATAATAATAATAATATAATTATTATTATTAAACATGAGGTATCTGAACAATAATAATAATAATAATAATAAAATAATAATAATTATTATTAAACATGAGGTATCTGAACATAATAATAATAATAATAATAATATTAAACATGAGGTATCTGAACAATAATACTAATATTATTATTATCATTATTGTTATATTATTATTATTAAACATGAGGTATCTGAACCATGATGGAGGGATTTACATTTCAGTGGTGGAAACAAAACCCATTGCACACTTCTGCCAACTAGTGGTTGGCCTTTGAATTGCCCCAAAAGAAAAGAAAAAACACAAATGTTTGTATTTAAATTCTTCCAAAAATTTGATATATGGTTTTTGAATATCAAAATAATATCGCAGGAATGAATATCACAATATATTGCCATATCGATATTTTCGTACATCCCTGCTCAATACAGCTGCAAATAGAGGATGTAAACAACTTGAAATAAGAGCAACGCTGCTACTTTTAAATGTGTTCATAATATAAACACGTTGTTAATCTGTGTACTTCCCAAACAAGTGAAAGTGAAACTCAAAGGACAATTTAGATGTGTTTTCTTATTATTTTAAGGCTTTCCTGAAAATTATTTCCTTTTTTCTTTATTTAAATGCTTTAAAATAGCATTAAAATGCAAGCAACTTCCGGTTCACCTTTACTTACATTGAGATGATGCTATGCCTTCCTGCTAATCCGGTTTATGGTTTTATTAGACGTGTGAACACCAGCTGTCACAGCTTCTTCTGCCTACTGCACCAGATGGGGGATGGGTGATCTCAAATCTGGCCAAAGCTAACATACAGTAGCATTTTAGCTAATTTCCGTACCTGTCTGACAGTGAGGCGATAAACAGTAAAAAGTTGGTTGTATTTTGTTGAAAGAGGTGGGACTCAGTCTTATTTACCTGAAAGCAGACGTAGAGCCAACTCAGAGCCACACAGGTACATTCTTCAGGGCTAAATAAAACTGCTAATAGCAACAAAACCTCACCATGCAAACCAATGGGTATGTGCTACTTATGATAGCTCACCTGATGTTGCTCTCATCATTTCTCCATCACCATAAGCCTAGCCAGGAATAAGGTGGACAAATGCTGCTAGCAGTGATGCTAGCTGCAAAATAAACTGTAGTCTGAGCTACTGCGAACATCCTTGTTGGATGAGAGGCCATTGTGAGCTCCAACAAAGTTTAAGAACAGTGTTTAGTAGTGAAAAAATAAGAGTTCCTATTGAACCCAGGTGAACACTTTGTTGGATCCATGGCGTGACGAACTGAGTCAGAACTGAAGGCAGCAGGGTGCAACCAGCACGAGCTCAGTCCGCTAATCGTGCGGCGTGTTTGGTGCGACTGAACTGACGGTGGAGTGAAAAAGCAAACTAAAACTAAAACTAACGGTGTCCTAAAGAACTGCCTTCTTGCGGTCATCGCTGTAGCAGAGACGACAGAGCGGGAGTAGCCTCTGGAGCGTGGAGCACGTTCCGTAATTAAATTAGTCATTAACCTGCTGGAATGTGGTGACTGCTGCAGGTGCCGCCACCCTGATGTTCGGGGTGACCGCGGCTTGAACTGATCTGTTGGAAAGTAGAGATTCCAGGAGTTTCCCTGTTCTGCCTACAGTCACATTCCCAACTGGATAGAAAAGCACTGTAAGAGGATTAACACCACTTTTGACTTTATACCCTCCCAGGAGTTGATTCTGTCATTTAGTGGTCATTTATTAATAAAATAACTTAATTAATTGCATGTGTACTGTGCTAATAAAGAAGTTTTACAAAGGCCTTGAGTATTTTGACGGATCTGAGCGTTAGTTAAATCTAATAAACAACAACGTGTATTTGCTTGAGTGAAACATTGCTAGACTTGGTTTCCTCTTATGTGTAAATTCACTGTTTTTATTTAAAACCTGTCATTAAAGCATAAATATTAACTTTATTTTCTCTCGTTTGTATTTCAGGAACCAGCCGAAGGTAAATAAATGCTCCCTATCACTCTACCAAAGTGGCTTTTGGGTGATTCTGACTGTGTTGTTTTTGCCTCCCAGGCTTTTGCCTATGACTACTGTTTCTGGTCTATGGATGAATCCCAGAAGGACAAGTTTGCAGGTTTGTTTGTTTCTGCTCTACATGATGTTTTAACTCCTCTGACTGGTGAATCATGTCCGTTTCTTCGCCTCTGACGTGTTTCCTGTTATCTGAAGCTATCTATAGTCTATGAAGGGGTGGCGAGGTACCAGCTACTTCAGACCCTTTACCTGTCTTACCTCACCGTCGTGATTCATCAATCTGAATCAGGCACGTTTCTCTTTAGTCTTATGGGCCATTCCCATCTTTACCGGGTCGGCCCGGGCCGGGTAGCGTAGGTTGTTTACATATCTGGGTGGCCTGGTATTTTTCCGGGCCGACCAAGGCTCATTCTCAGCCCTCTTGTCGAGGGGGTCTGCTTCAGGCCGACCAGGGCCAACACGCCCACTGCTGACAGCAAATTCACACCTTCCATTAGAGCAAGCCTCTGATTGGTGGGTAGAATCAGCCCACATGGGCTTAAGGCAAGGATGTGTGGAATCAACCGGGCCAGGCTGGGGCCGACTGGGGCTACTCGGCCCGGGCCGACCCGGTACAGATGGGAATGGCCCATTAGATCGTTCCAGTCCGAACCGGTTTCTGCATGCTTCAGTCATCACCTCCTGTCTTCAGCTGTTCTTCTGAAGGATGCCTCATTGAGATGAGTTAGGGTTGTGTGCAGTGTTGTGCTAGCTATAGCGCCTTCAAGGGTTCTACAACCCCTCAAAGCACTTTGTAACGCAGTCATTGAGTCATTCGCCCCCTGGTGGTGATGAGCTGCATTGTAGCAGCAGCTGCCCTGGGGCTCATAGACAGAAACAAGGCTGCCAAACACAGGCACCACAGGTTCTCCCGACCACCAGCAGGAAATTTGGGTTATGTGTCTTGCCCAAGGACACCATGACTGCGACAGACTGAGTGGGACTCAGACTTGCAACCTTCCAGTTACATGGTGGGTACTTAATCCCTCTGCCACCAGCTAGGTTCTATCCATTCATTTTCGTTTGCTTATCCGGAGTCGGGTTGAGGGGGCAGCAGCCTAAGCAGAGACTTCCCTTTCCTTGGGCCAACTCCTCCAGGGGAATCCCAGGACGTTCCCTGGCCAGCCAGGAGACCTGGACCTTCGTTTAGGGTTCCTCCCAGTTGGATGTGCACGGAAAACCTCACCAGGGAGGCGTCCTAATCAAATGCCCAAGCCACCTCAACTGGCTCCTCTTGATGTGGAGGAGCAGCAGATCTACTCTGAGCCCCTCCTGGATGACCAGGCTTCTCACTCTATCTCTAAGGGAGAGCCCAGAATCGCTGCAGTGACACGGCATCAGCGTTGGACTAATACTGGTCCAATCCCAGAGCGCCTTTACTCAAGTACGATCGAGTTCGTGGATGTGAGCCAGCGTCTGTGGGCAAGGATCAGACCGCCAAGAACCCTGCCTTCAGCTGATGGGATTGTGTTGATGTTGACAATGAGCAGGACACACTCACCATGGTGACTCTGTCAGAGAGATGCCTCTTCATCTAGCTCCGTGGCTTTCACAGAGGTGAAATGAGCGGATAACCAGACTACAAGGAGTTTGAGTGTGGCAGGTGCATAAACATACTAATTACACTTTGAGGTCCAGTAGGAGAGTCAAACTGTGTTTTATTTACTGGTCAGAGGTCAGGTTGGCCTTCTGTGTAAACCTTCTCGCCTGGGCAACATGTGGAAAACGACTGAATTTGGTGGTGAACGGTAAAAATCATAAATCTGACTACTTTTGTCCAAAATGAAACCATTACATCACAGAAAGCCTGAATATGTGTTGTAGATGATGCAGGATCAGAAACTGTGGTTTGCATTGAAGTCAATGGGATGTTTCTGTCCTCTAATGGCTCGAGTGTTTCTATGTAAAAACTACTCATTCAAAATTTTATAACATAATCCAGACTGGTATGTACTAAACACCCCAGGCAAAAAAAAAGTTTCAGAAAATAACTCAGTTTTGTGTTTTATTTATTTATTTATTTATTTATTTATTTATTTATTTATTTATTTATTTATTTATTTATTTATATTATTCATAAATTACAGCAATGACTGAGTATTCAAACTGGCATTTGAAGGGTTAAAATCCTCAAACTGATAGAAATGTTTACATGTTTGAGCAGGGCTGAAGTTATTCAACAGATCTATGAAAAAAGCAAAAATAAATATGAATGTGTACGTTTTCATAACCACTTTTACAAGCGGACGTTTTTGTCCTCTTGTATGAAAATGAAAGTGAAGCCTGAGGGTTAATTCTCCTCTGCAGGCTAGAACACGCGTGTTACGTCTGGGTGACATGTTGGCTACCAGCACGTTTTAAATTCATCCTCTAAAATGTGACTCGTAGTGGCCAGAGTTACCTTACTGAGTGAGTGGTAACAGCTTTACCGTAACCAGGCAACCCTGGTGAGACGAGTGATAAGTGCGTGGTGATATACCATGTATATGGTGTGTGTGTGTGTGTGTGTGTGTGTGTGTGTGTGTGTGCGTGTGTGTGTGTGCGTGCGTGCGTGCGTGCAGGTCAGGATGTGGTGTTCCAGTGCCTTGGAGAGAGTCTGCTGGACAACGCCTTCATGGGCTACAACGCCTGCATCTTTGCTTACGGACAGACAGGTGAGGTACTCTACTGTTGGGCCTAACCTATCGCAGCATCCTGTCAGATCCGGTTTCTACGCGGCAGCAGCGTCGTGTTCAGGCTGACCTGCTCCATATGGCTGCTTCAGTTCTGTTATCTATTCACATTTTATCATTTAAACCTTTTGTTTTATCTAAAAGTTTTTTAATTATGTTTTTTTTTTTGTTTTATTAATCAAACTTTGAGACCCCAAAAGTAAAATATCCCAAATGCAAGGGCGTAGGAACCGGGGGGGACGGGTGGGACGTGTCCCCTCCAATATTTGACAAACGCGCATTCGTCCCCCCCAATAACATGGAGAAGAAAAAGATTGATTTTGAAATATTTGACTCGCGAGCTTTTACTTTGAAAGACACCGCGGACTTCTCTCCGACACAGCCCCTCCCCTCAGGGAGTTACAGGCTGGCTGAGTGAAGCAGGAGTCAGAGCCGGGGCAGACACAGTGTCAGAGACAGACGGCAGCAGCTAAGCGAGTTCTTCTCATGGGCAAATAAAGAAAGAAAGGAATTGTGAGTTGGTAATAATTTAGTCCAAGAGTATAATTGTATTTCTGGTCAAACGCTAAAATGGCTGACTAGCGTAAACATCTTGCTAGTTAGCATTAAACATTAAACAACACTACTAGTCAACAAAAAATGGCGAATTTGACAGTAACAGACAAAAACCATTTGACACAAAATAAATAAAAAAGTAGAATCTCCACATAAAAATGGAGTTTGTAAGTGTGATTGTTGCTTGTTTGTGACATTCTCATCACATTTCATTTTTAAACCTTATTCATGTCAGTTTTTTCATATAAGAGACCAGAGGAAGTTCAGCAGGAAATGATGAGGGTGAGACAGGCAGCGCCAGACCTGCTGAGGGTGAGACAGGCAGCGCCAGACCTGCTGAGGGTGAGACAGGGAGCACCAGACCTGCTGAGGGTGAGACAGGGAGCGCCAGACCTGCTGAGGGCGAGACAGGCAGCGCCAGACCTGCTGAGGGTGAGACAGGGAGCGCCAGACCTGCTGAGAGTGAGACAGGGAGAGCCAGACCTGCTGAGGGTGAGACAGAGAGCGCCAGACCTGCTGAGAGTGAGACAGGGAGAGCCAGACCTGCTGAGGGCGAGACAGGCAGCGCCAGACCTGCTGAGAGCGAGACAGGGAGAGCCAGACCTGCTGAGGGTGAGACAGGGAGCGCCAGACCTGCTGAGATGCAGGTAGGTGCTACAGTGGAGTGAGATTTTAGATAGTTGATAATGAGAGGAAGATTCGAGCATGATAACAAGTGAGCACGACTAAATAATACTATAACAACCATGATTTTAATGTTGCACTAGTCGTCCAACCGTATTTTTTACTCCTTATTCCTGTCCACTGTTTTTATATTAGAGATCAGATGAAGTTCAGCAGGAACCAGTTGAGGGTGAGACAGGGAGAGCCAGACCTGCTGAGGGCGAGACAGAGAGCGCCAGACCTGCTGAGGGTGAGACAGGGAGAGCCAGACCTGCTGAGAGTGAGACAGGGAGAGCCAGACCTGCTGAGAGTGAGACAGGGAGCGCCAGACCTGCTGAGAGTGAGACAGGGAGAGCCAGACCTGCTGAGAGTGAGACAGGGAGAGCCAGACCTGCTGAGAGTGAGACAGGGAGCGCCAGACCTGCTGAGAGTGAGACAGGGAGAGCCAGACCTGCTGAGAGTGAGACAGGGAGCACCAGACCTGCTGAGAGTGAGACAGGGAGAGCCAGACCTGCTGAGAGTGAGACAGGGAGAGCCAGACCTGCTGAGAGTGAGACAGGGAGAGCCAGACCTGCTGAGAGTGAGACAGGGAGCGCCAGACCTGCTGAGAGTGAGACAGGGAGAGCCAGACCTGCTGAGAGTGAGACAGGGAGCACCAGACCTGCTGAGGTGCAGGTAGGTGCTACAGTGAAGAATGAGATGGTTTTAGGTTACTGATAAGAGGAAGATTTGAATGTAATAATTAGTGAACACAGTTAAATATATGTAATCCCATTACAAGTAGGGCTGGGCAGTACGGTTTAAGAATAAATTACATTCTGTATACACTCCCTTAGAAATATTAGAAAAATAAGTGTTAAACTCTGCTTTCTGGTGCATTTAGACTGCAATTTTGGCCACTGTTTGTTTCTTTTGTCCATCTGAATAATAACATAGTTCCAGCTGTTGTTGTAAGTGAATTATTTCTTTTTTCATTCTGTCAGAAACAAACAGATTGTTCTGATTGTTGGTCAGCATTGTTGGCTGATGTAGTTTAAAATATTCTGATGAGTCAGATCAATTCAGACTGAATATTCACAGCTTTAGTCTTGTATTAAATCTGTTTACACATCTCTACCCATAGGCATAAGATAATATATCCTACATTCATATTATTAAAATATATCCTACATTCATATTATTAAATAAAAATAAAACACTACTGACACATAAACAGCTTTTTTATAATTAAAACGTCCACGTTGGCCGGTAATCACCTGGATCCGGCTAATGGGGAGTAAGTAAGTAAAAGTTTATTTATATAGCGTCTTTCACAGATATAAATCACAAAGCGCTGTACAACATGATAAAGATCAGGGCAAATACCTCTGACCAATAAAAACATGATAAAAACAATAGCAGTGATAAACGTAGAAAATAAAATCATGAGTATAAACAAAGTGAAGGTGTGAACCCGAACAAAGCCATCATTCTGAAACATTTAGGGAGGGAACGCCTGGATGAAAAGGTGAGTTTTTAGATGATTTTTAAAGACCTCTACAGTGTTAGAGAGACGGAGATTAGAAGGTAGACTGTTCCAAAGTCTGGGTGCAATAGTCTGAAAGGCCCTGTCCCCTTTGGTTTTCAGTCTGGTTCCAGGAACAGCCAGGAGGTTTTCAGATGTGGATCTAAGGTTCCGAGAGGTGGTGTGTGGGGATAAAAGCTCAGATAGGTAGCTTGGAGCCTGGTTGTTAAGAGCTCTATAGGTCAGGACTAAAACTTTAAACTGTATTCTATATTCTACCGGGAGCCAGTGGAGGGACTGTAAACCTGGAGCGATGTGAGCTCGTCTGCTGGATTTGGTTAGGAGTCTGGCTGCTGCATTTTGGATGACCTGAAGGCGTGAGAGGGAGGTTCTGCTGAGACCAGTAAAAAGAGCGTTACAGTAGTCTAAGCGTGATGACACAAAGGCATGGATGATTTTTTCCAGATCTACAGTAGAAACCAGTTTACGGACTTTTGAAATGTTTCTCAGTTGGAAGAAACAAGAGCGGGAGATGGTTTTGACGAGTGAGTCTAAACTTAAAGCTGGATCAAAAATAACTCCTAGGTTTCTAATGTTGGCCTTGGCTGATGGGCAAAAAGAGGCAATTTCTTGCTCGATTTTTAGTTGAAGTTCCGGGGGTGCAGCGAGCAGGGTCTCTGTCTTGTTGGCGTTGAGGACAAGAAAGTTGTACAAGTGTGGCCAGCCTGTCCAACTGGTGTGGCATAAAGGACATATAGAGCTGAATATCATCAGCGTAGATGTGGTAGGAGATGTCCGGGAAAGACTGAATGATGCCAGCTAGGGGAAGAATATAGAATGCGAATAGTAGAGGCCCTGGAACTGAACCTTGTGGGACCCCGCATGTTAGAGAGGCAGTATCTGAAGAGAAGGTTTCGGACTTCACTGTGAATGTTCTGTTAGTGAGATAAGAAGAGAGCCAGTCTAGAGCAGAACCTGAAATCCCAGCCAGGGCCTTTAACCTGTTTAGTAGAACGTTGTGGTCTACAGTGTCAAAAGGAGCCTAAGTCTCCTCCCCTTCTGGCTGGCTCATGGGTCCCCGATCAAAAAAAAAAAACAGAATGTTAGTGAACTGGGTTATAAAAGTTATTTTCTTGTCTTTCTGGGCTTTGCCTTACGCCCTCAGTCACATCTGTCAGACTTTTCTAATCCTAGAGTTTCACCGTCTATCAGATTTTCTTTCAGAAGCTACTGCAGGAGATAGCGGCAGGAGACTATGTTCATGTTCAGCCTGCATGAAACACTCAGTGACACGTTAGAATCAGAAATAATCATTTAATGTATTTTTTTTCAGTGAAGTTGACCTACGGTATATATTGACCTACAACAGATTTGTTAGATTTCCAAAATGTGTCCCCCCCCAATATTAAACTCGTTCCTACGCCCTTGCCCAAATGTCAGGATTATTGTCAAACTTCAACAAAAATCCGGTGAATCGTTTCAGTTCAACAGAAAACTCGCTTCTTTATTATTTACTATTATGATTACATTATTTCAGTGTTTCTTTAAAGTGTTGTGATTACTTCACTTAAGAATAAGGATCTGTCTTTTAGTAAAATAGAAGAGCTTCACGTAGCGAAGGAGCCATACCCACTCAGGAGGTTATTACGTCTCCTTCCGAGGGCTAGGAGTGTTCGCCCATGGGACTTTATAGAGAACAGACAAACGGGTCGGGCTAGGAGACCAAGGGCCTTGTGCTGGACGAGGATGGAGGATCCCACTAACGAAATTTTATCAAGTCCGGTCCGCCTGACCTCAGGACATAAACATCGTCCACCATCTTCTCTCTCCCGCTCGTCTCTATGATGTCATCTCTCTTCACCTTTAGTGGTTCTTAAACATCGACTACGAAACAGAGGAGGATTAGTGTGTGTGTGTGTGTGTGTGTGTGTGTGACCCTTAACAGGTATATAATAATAAATATAACAGATTTAATGCTCTCACTAATGTGATTGTGTGGTTATTTACCAACACTTCCTGCTTCTCTGACTGGAGTTTCCTGCTGAAAAGCTGAAGCAGCAACTGGTGGAACCAGAACTGTTCTCAGAAGCTTTTATTTTATCAAATAGTTTAATAAAGCTCAAATACAAACAGATTCTGATGCAGCAAACACACAGCGGTAACTTCACACCACTTAAGTTCGTCACTAATGAGCGAACGTGGCTTCGTTACCTGTCCCAGCCTACATGTCATCCACGGCTCAGGCAGAACAGCCCGACCGGATCTCCTGCTTTAGCCACGAAGACACAGGAGGCTGTAAGAATCCTCCTTCCACCTCCCGGCCCGTTACTCTGTGTGATGAATGAGTTCTTCACCTGCAGGCTCAGGGAAGTCCTACACCATGATGGGCTCAGCCGAGCAGCCCGGTCTGATCCCTCGGCTCTGCAGCTCCCTGTTCACCAGGACGGCGGTGGAGGCCCGCGAGGCCGAGACCTTCACCGTGGAAGTGTCCTTCATGGAGATTTACAACGAGAAAGTCCGAGACCTGCTTGACCCCAAAGGGTGAGGGTGTGGTTTGGATTTGAAAGGATCAAAACGCGTTAACGTCTTTAAACCCAGAAATCTGCAAGATCCCTTCTGTTTGCAGGAGCCGACAAGCTCTGAGGGTGAGGGAGCACAACGTCCTGGGACCTTACGTTGATGGTCTGTCCCGCCTGGCTGTGACCAGCTACAAGGTAGCATCCACAAGCTTCCTACGCTTCCTTCTTCCCTGTCGGGTTATAGAGAGAGGAGCTGAAACCTCTCTGTGGTGGACTTGTCTGCAGGACATCGAGTCCCTGATGTCGGAGGGGAATAAGTCTCGTACGGTGGCGGCCACAAACATGAACGAGGAGAGCAGCCGGTCCCACGCCGTCTTCAACATCATTCTCACACACACACTCAGAGACCTGAAGTCTGGGGTGAGTGGGCTGGGGGGGGCTTAATGTTGACCTGCTCAACTAGAAACCAGAGCTGAGTGGATCCTGCCCTGGGAAGTGGCGTCTGCCTACCTGGTATAAATCCAGGTGTATAGACCCAACCAGCCTGCACACACTCCCCACCTTTAGAGTATGCAACCACATCCAAGTGGTGTGTGTGACTCAGCTCCAGGTGGTCAGCTGAGTGTCTGCTTGTGTCTGCTGCAGACCAGCGGAGAGAAGGTAAGCAAGCTGAGCCTGGTGGACCTTGCTGGAAGTGAGCGAGCGGCGAAGACCGGAGCAGCCGGGGATCAGCTTAAGGAAGGCAGCAACATCAATAAGTGAGTCATCAGCTAAGATCGGCCCGCTGGTGGTCCCGTAAGCCCTGAAGGTGCGTTTCCACTGTAGGAGCTACCAGTCAGGGTCGCTGGTTTGGTCCTCTCAGCCGTCGTCGTTCTGCCGCAGTTTTCATCAAATTTAGAAACAATGGTTTTAAAGCAGCATGGTGGTAGTTTGGTGACGTCTGCTGATGTCATTTCCTATTAAATTACAGCCAATCAGCATGGGGTTACCCACAAGTCCTGCCCAGCCTAGGGCTGTCCGAGTACAAACCCCAGTTCCGGTTCCTGGAGTGACCCAGGAAGTGGTCCACCAGTGAGGTGGAGACACACACCGGTACATGACCCTGGTGCTCCGACAGTGGAAACGGGCCTGGTGCCAGCGGGGCTGGGTTCAGCTACCTGTGGTGGTGACCGAGTTAGCGATGGTCCCGATGATGGGTTGATTCTGACTCTTTGACCCACCCCTGCAGGTCTCTCAGCACTCTGGGTTTAGTTATCTCGGCTCTGGCGGACCGGGGAGCAGGGAAGAACAAAAGCAAGTTTGTTCCCTACAGAGACTCGGTCCTCACCTGGCTGCTGAAGGTACAGACACAGAGACGTCTGTGCAGGTCTGCTCTAACAGCAGCAGGCTTGTTCTGCTTCTGTCGTGTGTTCATGCTCTGATGCTTCTGTCCACCTTGCAAAAGCTCCTCTTCAGTACACGCTGCTGATGGGCTATGATGTTTTTGCCTGTGTCTGTTAAAGGTCCGCTTCATAGAAACATATTTCTGATTATGTTTATGTATTTAGCAGACAACTCTAGTCCAAAGCGACTCACGAGTGATGATGAAGCCAGCTGGTTGCCCTTGAGGCTAACAACAACAAACACTCGTCAGTCAGTCGTAGGTGGCAGCGAGGCAGCACGGTGAACCGTAAAGGGAAGGGAACAAGGAGTGGACGGTGGAGTGGGGGACGGGTGCGGGGAGGGTTGTTTTACTAAGAGTCACTCTGAGTGTTTCATGCAGGCTGAACATGAGAATAGTCTCCTACACCTCCCTCCTGCTGTAGCTTGTGATAGAAAACAGACGCTGAAACTCTAGGATAGAAAATCCTGACAGATCTACGTCACCCTGTCACTAACATTCATGGACTCACCCATCTGGACTCACGACGGGGAAGGCTGTTGTTGGTTTAGCGTACAGGAAACAGCAGAGAACATCTCCGCTAGTAGAAGCTAACTGTTAGCATTAGCAACTCCACCACACAGCAGAACTCCTCCAGGCTTGTGTTATTGGTGGAGATAAAGCATCAACGCTGCAGAGGTAAGTGAGTCGGTGGTAGAGCCGTGTTGCTGTTAGCCAAGCAGAGGAAATGAAACTCGTCTGAAGCTACGATCTCCTCCAGCTGAGTTCTCCGTGCTGATACAGGAGCGCCTGAGCTTTTCTCCCAACAGAACGACTCACAAGGCATTCGTTCCTACTAGTTCCTACTGGGGAGCAGAGCTTTCAGCCGCTCTGCTCCCCGTCTCTGGAACTCACTTCCCCCAGACATCAGGAACGTCGACAGTTTTACCCTTTTCAAAACAAAACTCAAAACACACATGTTTACATCTGCCTACAACCTCTGATTTTATTGAAATGTTTCTCTCTGTTTTTTCTTCTTTGGGTTTTATTATTGTTTTATTGTATTTTATTACGTGTTTTGTGTAAAGTGACCTTGGGTGTCCTGAAAGGCGCTTTGAAATAAAATGTATTATTATTATTATTATTACTAGAGACCAATGCAGCCGTAGCAAACATGAGAAGAGTTGATCTTTGAAATACCTCCTGAACCACTGGGCAGATGTGAAGAAGACGGTCTTGATCCACTCAGGAGCTTCGGCTCTCCAACGACCGAGTGCTTTTACTCCATGGATCCATGGATTAGTTGAGTAATCCGACATGACGGGCTGGTGGTTCCCAACCTTTTGTCCTGAAAGTCCTCGTTCCGTTCCTGCTGTAAACGCTGCTCACATCTGTCCCGCACACGGCAGCGCGTTAACGTGTTCCTGAACATTCATGAGTCCAGTCACTTTAATGAGACGTGTTGGGCTGAGGCTGGACGTCGACGGCTGCCACGGCCCATCGGTGTCAGTGGAAGAGCTTTTGAGATGATGTGTGAATGGACGATAATTCAGTAGTTCAAAATATCTATCGGTAGACACGAGGTGCAGCGTACTAGACTCACGACGCACTCTGAACCAATCAAAACCACAGACTCGGCACGCTACGTCACCAGCCCCTCCCCTCTGAAACCAAAACGGCATGAGGTAAGGTGTCGCAGCGAGGAGAGGCGGAGAAAAATACAAAAACCAAGAATAAAACGGCCAGGGGTGAACGTGAAATACGTTTTCTATGATTAAATAAATAGTTTTCAATCATTATCGATCGATATAAAAATGTTACTAATTTCTCTGTATCGTCCGGCCCTGATGTGAACTTGCAGCTCCATCAGCTAGGCGTGGTTTCAGTTCACACCTGTGGCTGACAGGTGAAGTGCCTTCTGGGCTTTGTTTACTTCTGCTTTGTTCTTGTGTCTAGTAGAGCAGAGCGGTCATGTCTTCACCGTGGTGTTGTTTAGTCCCAGCACGCCTGTCTAACACCTGCTCCCGCACACGTCTGAACCTGCAGGACAGCCTCGGCGGGAACAGCCGAACATCCATGGTTGCCACCGTCAGTCCAGCGGCAGACAACTACGACGAGACGCTTTCCACCCTGCGCTACGCCGACAGAGCCAAGAGCATCGTCAACCATGCCGTGGTCAACGAAGACCCCAACGCCAGGATTATCCGCGAGCTCCGAGAGGAAGTGGAGAAGCTGAGGGAGCAGCTGACTGAGGCCGAGGTGCAGATGCTCGCTAGCTCGGCTCTGTGGGTGTAGCTGATCACATGCTAATGAGACTCGTGTGTGACGGCTCATTTCTGTGTCAGTCCATGAAGGCTCCGGAGCTGAAGGAGCGACTGGAGGAGTCTGAGAAGCTGATCCAAGAGATGACCGTCTCATGGGAGGAGAAACTCCATAAGACTGAGGCCATCGCTCAGGTAAGGCCACCTGGTTTATCCTCAGCTCCGCTCTAAAAGGACTGCCCTCAGTTTGGCTCGCTGACATGATGCGTGATGTTCCTGTAGGAGCGTCAGAAGCAGCTGGAGAGCCTGGGCATCTCCCTCCAGTCCTCTGGAATCAGAGTGGTAGACGACAAGTGTTTCCTGGTTAACCTCAACGCTGACCCCGCCCTCAACGAGCTGCTGGTTTACTACCTCAAAGTACTCCACACAAACGCGAGTCCGGTCCTGTGTAGAGCCTTGATGAGAGCCGGTCTGTTCTTCATGTCCTCCCTGCTGTGTCCAGGAGCACACCCGAGTGGGCTCAGCTGACTCTCAGGACATCCAGCTGTGTGGGATGGCCATCCAGGCTGAGCACTGCGTCCTGGACATCACGGAGAACAACCGCGTCCTGCTGAGTCCTCACCGCGGCGCCCGGTAGGTGGTCGCCCTCCTGCTGGAGAGCTGCAGACCAGACCTGGATCCTAGGGGGCTCTGCTACTACTCTATGATTCAGGAGGGTGTTTAAGACGTCTCTGATGACCACAGACAGAATAAATACGTACGTCTGAACCGGCGACGCACAAGCTGCCAGAGTCTCGTCTGGAGCAGACCTCCAGACGAGACTCTGGCAGCTTGTACGATCCGAGCCCAGCGGGCGCAGCGGCGGGTTGGATCCATGAATAATTAGAGCGTGATGAGTTGTGCTAGGACAGCAGAGAGAGAGAGAGAGGCTGGGGATGTGAGGAGATGAGGACGCGTTCTCATTCATCCGTGGTAAAATGTAGGCTGCGTTCATGAAGCCAGGATGTTTCATAAACCTGCAGCTCCTGCTGCTAGTTGGTGCCAGAAACCCAAACCGAAGGGAAGCTTGAGACCGGCTGAAGGAAACGTGGGCTGTTTGTTTCTCAGCAGGAGGAAATCAAGTAAAATCGGTCCTGTTTCTGTTTTCCTCGGTGCGTCGGTGTGCCGCAGGTGCTGGCCCCTCTCTGGGTCGGAGTACGCTCAGTCACTGGTGCTGTAGAGGGGGTCATTATGTATGTATGTGGGTGCTCTTAACGCTCAGCATACTACTCTACACTAACACCATCCAGTGTGACTGGTCTTTCATGTTCAACCAGAAGTTATTCAGGGATCGTAGGGCACTTGGTACTGATTCAAGAAGAGAGTCAGCTTTATCAAACGTAAGAATTCATTTTCAAACGGTTAAAAACACGACAAGTTAACTAATATTTACTGTGATGGATGGATCTAGGTGGATGGGAGGTGACTATGGTGACTGTGTGTGAATGTGAGGTTATCAGAACCTCCGTGTCTAGAAGACCCGAGTTCTGGGTGTAAAAGGGAAGAATTTGGTTTGCATGAAGCTATGAAGTTGGTTCTTATCAGAAGGGCATCTGTGTGTCTACCTCACCCTTTCTTTGGAGACCCTCTTCGTGGATCCGAAGGTCAGGGGTCGGATGACCTCTGGGCACCGAGGCTTGTAGAATAACCGCAGCACCGACGGTCCAGTCCAGAGATGTTTCCGGGTCACAACAGATGGATGGAAGCGTTAGCGTCTAGAAGGACTCTTGGGGAGTCGGAACGGTATCGCTTTGTTCTGCAGGAACCGTTTCTGTGTCAGCGGCAGGAGGCGTTTAGCAGGGTGTTTGCCAGAAATGCTCTGGGTTAAAGAGGCTTCGCTCCAGACGGCCGCTCCGTAGCGTTCTCTAGAACTGACTCGCCGTCTCGTGGGCTCTGTTTCAATATTCTCATGTTATGAGTTCTTGTCCAATCGGAACGTGCCGTGTTCAGGGATATAACCAAGAACCTCAGGACGTCACGCCTTCTCTCAGATACCGGATGCCCTGATTAGGGGTAAAGA